AGCCAGTCGATGGGGGCAGAGCGTAAGAATTTTTCTCTCTCCCTGTGCGTGTGTGTGTGTGCGTGTCTGTGTGCGTCTGTGTGAGGCACTTCATTTTTAGGGGGTCAGCCGGACTTTGGTCGAGCGGAAGTGCTGGCCGTCAGCATTGAATTTTTTTTTTTTTTTTTTTTTTATTATTATTTGTGCTCTGGCCCATTATTATTAATATTTGATGGTGCGTTATTAGCGCCATTAGCCGCAGACCCCAACCTCTAAAGCGAAGCTCGATGCCGTTTTCGCTCCATTATGACACGTAGCTTTATGCAGCTTCCGGCAGCTTCCGTTTCCGCTAGCGAAAAACATTTGATAAATTGCCGAGCAAATGAAAGGGGATTGTAAAGCGTCGCAAACTGATGGGTTGCTATGGGGGTGGGGATATATTGCATCAGCTGCTGCTGCACATGCAGATAATGGAAAATGTGTTTGGTTTTTGGCTAAAGTAAACAATATGTTAATAACACAAGCAAATGCAATAGCATTTTGGGTGGTTGCTTCTGTGGGTGGATAACTGTTTTTTTAAAGATTACGTTCAAGATTTATGATAGAGTTTCGGCTCGGCTGGCTTAATGGCAGTTTTATGATTGCCTTTGCCAGCGCTTGATTGATAGATGAAACGATGCATGGCCCCAGACCAAAAGGTGTGAGTGAATGAGTGTGTGTGTGTGTGTGTGTGTGTGTGTGTGTGTGTGTGTGTGTGTGTGTGTGCGTGTATGTGAAACTTTGAGCAATTGGTCTCAGCTGTTGTCGAATTTGTCACATGGCACTTTGGAAAACTTAAGCGCAACTTACACATGTAATAGAATACAGTAAAACCAACTAAACGAGTCGCCTGCCTCCCTGCACTGCCTGGCTGCTCTCCCTTCTGCTAGCTGCAATTCTATGCCAATCCATCAAGAGCTGCATGCATCATACAACCACTACTACTACTCGAATTACTAACAATAACAACAACTAGAAAGATACACAAAACCATCTAGACAAAAACACACAGTGAGTGGAACGCACGCACATCCCAATTTCTTCTATACCAAATCCCAATCGCCCACCCTCTCGCATCAAGAGCGAGAGAGAGAGAGAGAGAGAGAGAGCGGGACGCATCCCGTTCGTTGCCTTGGCGTGTCGTCTTTGGGCGTCTCTGTGTGATCCGCTGCAGATGTTTGCATTTATTTTGTAATTACTGTCACGCAATGTGACCATCAAATCAAATAAAACAAATTCCCACTCAGTGAAAGTGAGGCGAACTCAAGTTTCTTTAAATGGTTTCAACTTTTTCCTATCGGGGTTGGGCTACAAAAACTTTACTTCTTCAGCAGCAACCCCTCTAATTAATGTACTACTTGGATCTACTTAAAAGTTCAATGATTGCTGTGTGTATATACAAAAAAGGGATAGCATAATGAATAAACAATTATGCGAATGCTTTCAATGCACCGGTGACCCAATTTTTTAGCTTGATTAAGTTTCGGAGTAATCTGAAACATAAAAGAAGCAACTGTGAATATGCCAGGTAATCAATATTGTTTTTAATGTTTTAAAATACTAAAATATGTAACTGGCTTAAGGAAATAGAGTTATTGGTCTGAAATGAATTTTTTTATTTTTTATTTTTTTATTTTTTATTTATTTTTTAAATCAATCGCTAAGTCATTCGCAGTCTATTTTCGTCCACATAGTTTCGCTGTCCACTGCAATCACTTTTATATGCTACTCGCTTCTTCATAACTGTATTCTTTTTTCTTTGTCATTATTTCGTATATTTTATTAATTTATTTTTTAAATATTTATTTTATTATATATATATATATATATATATATATATATATATATATATATATATATATATATATATATATATATTTTTTTTTTTTTTTTTTTTAATTTTTAAGACATTGTAAATTAGTATTTTTTAGGAGCTTTCTCTGTAAATAATTTTGTAGACCTGTCAATCATATAATCTTTAAATGGATAACCAGACCAAACTCAAAGCCACCAGAATTGCCAAAATTTTGTTATCAGGGCACTCGAATATATTCTGATATATACTTGTGTATATGCCATGAAGGAAGTTCACATGTGGAAGATACACATGTATAATATTAAATCAATAAATACTTATAAAGACGTTACAAATAAATTATATCACTTTTTTTTTAGCTAGAGTCACCAAATTTTAAATGTAGATTTATATGTACTTAATAGAATTTCGGTTTTTATTATAATTCACCTCCACCCTAAATCCACCCCTTCACCATTCAATTTGTAATGGCGTATTTCAAATACTTATTAATAAATTTAAGTAAATAAAATTTTATATTTATCTTCAATGCAGTTTGCACGCTTGAGAAATGGAGATTTTTTTAATAAAACGAATTGCTTGGCCAAGCTTTTCAAGCAATTTGACAACGTCTGAGAGCTAAGCCAGCGAAACCCGCTCAGCCAGACGTTTAAATTCTCTGTAGAATACAAAATGAAAAAATTAGAGAAAATGGAAGTCTGCCATTTAAAACTAAACACGTCTGCCAATATTAATATATATTGTATTTCCGACAGCTCAAAAAAAAAAAAAAAAAAAAAAAAGAAAAGGCAAAAAATAAAAAAACACTTCCATTAATGTCAAAATGCGCTCAAGACCCGCAGTCGAACCGAAGTTGGCCCCCAGCAGCCCCTTCAGCTGTAAACTTTTGCTCAACCGACTCCGAGTGCGGCCCGGCAGTTTTTCAAAACTTTGCCCGTTCAATACGCTCGGCCCGTTTGCTTTTTACCGAACAATTTCAAATGCAACACAGCGCGGCAAGGATATTTTTCACTTTGCTCTGCGAGCAGCCAAAAAGGAGGCAAAAATTATATATGGAATTCACAGCCAGGGCCAGGGCCAGTTGGCAGTTGGCAGTTCTTCGTCGTCATCGTCGTCGCAGCGTCTGCCACTTGTTGTTTGGGTTGAATGGCATGCCCCGTGCCCCATGCCCCATGCCCCATACCCCATGGCCCATGCCCTTGCCACGCCCACCTGCACAGTCGCCATTTGAGTGTTGCCAATGTTAATCGAAGGAATACAACAGCAGCGACAACAGCAACAACAACAACAACAACAACAACGACTAGAAAGAGGAAGCAAGAAAAGAGCTCAGCTCTCGTCGCGTTATCTCACGTATATGGGCAGACATAAAAACAAATTACATGTCGAAGTGGGCGTGGATCGTGGGGCGGCAGGCAGCTAGAGCATGCGAGGAGCAAGCGAGACAGGCAGACAGAGTGCTGCTTAAGCGGCTTTATGTGCAGAAATTGTAAATGGCATTTGTCTCCAGCTTTTTTTGTTCATGTGTCCATATGTGTGTGTGTGTGAGTGTGTCCATATATGTGTGCGTGTGTGTGCATGCAGCTATTTCCGGTGCTATGGCGGCCAGCGGAAGCGGCTGCCGTTTGTGTTTTTCTGTACTTCATTTGTTTTTTATTTGCTGTCTTTTATTTTCTCTTCTTCTTTTTGTTTTTGTTGTCTCTCTTTTTGCTTTCGTTCTGTAGAAAAAGTTTATCAATATTGAAAAGTTTAGCGTGTATTTATTGTTGTTCTCTGGGCAGGCGCTTGTATACCTCTGCCTGCCTGGCTCATAGTCATAACAATAAACCGAGGGTTCATAAATAAGTTATTAGTCAATGTCTTTTGGGGTTTTGTGTTCATGTTATGGCTTTGATGGCGCTCCAATTGCCGCTCATTGATGTTCGCCTCTGCAGTTCTCACTCTTAATGAGCGTGGTCTAGAAAATTATGACATTTTCCATGGCTGTGCCTGTGTCTGTGTCTGTCTCTGTGTTGAGCATAAATGTGGAGTTACGTGCAGTTTGGCAATCGATGCAATCGACTCAATAAAACTTGGCGTAATATCTCAACCAATTCTAAACTTGATGTGCAGCGATTCTGACGTCAATTGTTTAACGGATGTTGGCTTATTTACGCGGTAATTTTTTGATTTGAAATGTTTTATTTTGGGTTTATCTGGTTCAAGCGACAGCTGATTAAATATTAAGAGCTAAGCATACAATTTGTTTAAGCTCGAAGAATGAATACTCTAAATACATAGAAAATGGATGTAGGGTATTATTGTTTTGTTGATAGTGTATGTAACAGGTTGAAGTAGGTGTGGTTGGCTTCACGCGGTAGACAGACTTCCAGAGACTTTATCGAGATCAGCAGATACCATCCAGTCGATCCTGCACTTTCTGTTTGTTTGAATTTATAAACTAGACAGAAGAAGAAAACGGAAAAATTGAAGGAATGGGAGGATCGCATACAGACACAAACATGTTCATACATGTTGCAAGGGTCTGTACGTATGAGTGCACATCAACTCTTTTATACTTTTCTTACGCATAATCATGGAAAGTCAAACATTTTGCATGAGCATGAAAAACGCTATCAAGAGCTCGGGTTACTCTTCATTTAGATGGGAAGAAAAGGGATTTACATTTTAGGTATTTTTATGTTCATGTAGTGTATATTTTAATTGGATACTATACGACTATAGAGCAACATTTTCTTATATATACGCAACACAATTAATAGGCTTTAAAAATAAAAATATAATGTTAAATTCATTAGCTGTATTTTTAGCAGTAATTAATGGAATTTTATTTATATATCCTATTGATTATTTAAATTTATTTAGCTCTTTCGTCAGTTAAGCAAACTATATTAATAAATAATATATTATATATATTTTTGAAGTAATTAATATTTAAATAAAATACCAAGGCGGTTTTTAAGCACTGCAACAGTCTTATAAAACAAATAAATTTGCTCAATAAACAATAACTGTGGCGTTAGCTCTAAAATGCTAACAAACTTTATATGTCTTTGACAAATATATTGTGAGCACATCTGTGTTGACCTTACCAGCGCGTAGGGCCGGGAGTTGCTATAAAAAGAAATTGTTTTGGCCAAATCTACATCATTCCTGAATCGACAAGATGAGAGCTTTTACAATTGCTTTGAGCTGCGCCCTTTTGGCCATACTTGTTGCCCACCTGCCGTGCGCTGAGGCAGTCACCTGTGCAGAGGCACCCACCGATGCCAACTGCATTGACTGCACTCTTGCAGCAAATGAAGCCGATCCCGAGTGTGCGCCTCTAACTACAGTGGAGCCAATCACGACGCAAGCCCCGCCGGCTGCCGAGTCAACTGTGGCTAATGATGATGCCGATGCTGACGATGATGATTGTCCCTGCCGTCGTCCACGTGGAGGTCGTGGCGGTCGCCGCGGTGGGCGTGGAGGTCGCCGAGGTGGGCGTGGCGGTCGTGGAGGACGCGGGGGCTGGCGTGGTGGCAGGCGTGGCGATAGACGCTTTGGCCGCGGCTAAAAACAGATCCTTGACAGGCGAAACAAATTAATATTTTGAATAAATGAATTTGATGATTATTGAAAGGTTTTTGAGATTTATTTTGTGCGGGGTTTCCTAAATTTATTTCGAAAATTTGCTTTGCAAAATTGAAATATTTCCCAGGCTCTTCTACTTGATTTTCATAATATCAAATACAAATTTAATATATTTTTTAATGATATTTTTTTTAAAGTATTTTTGGTAGGTATAAAAAATCTGATCTAGGTGATTCTCAATTGTTAAAGAAAAAGCTTCAAGTTAGATAAATTATTCAATTAGAATTGCGTCTTATTTCGCCTTTCCACAGCATCCAATTAAATTCTCAAGGTCCTAACAATTTTCCTTTACGAATCTCATGAATTTAGATAATGAAAGGAAAATAAATTAATACTACTACTAATATTATTTATTGACTAATATATATTATTGATTAAGTCAATTATATAATAAAATAATAATAAATATAATAATTTTAGCAAGCTCAATTAGAATTTATAAATAAAGTTCATTCATTCCATTTCAGTTTCCTATATTCAGTTAAAATCAGATTTATTGAAATACTGGTAAAATATTTACCAACAAATAATATATTCTGTATTATACATAGAAGACCAAAAATAATTAAGGAAAATAGGAGAAAAAGAGAAAACTGTTGCCCAAATTGAATATAAAATGAAAAGTGCTTCAAAGCGTGCGCCCCTTGGGAGCAACTAGCAATTGACTAAATGGTCCAATCAGATGTCAAATATCAGTCAAAAGGCAGTCGTCGAAAAATGTAATCACAGTTCAAAGTCGAAAAAATTGACATAATTACGAGTGCATGGCGTATCATATACATTTCACGTGGCTGCAAAAGAGCGAAAAGAAATCACAGAAGCAAGCGAAAAAGAAAAAAAAAAAAAAAAACAAGAAGAAGCGAAAAATGAAGTGAAATTTTAATAAGCTAAATAAAGCGGCAAGAGAAAAGACGCCGCCAGGTGAAAACAGCGAAGAAAAACAGCACGCCAAAGAGAGCAGCAGCGGTGAGGGCGGCTGGGCGGGGCAGAGGAGAAGGCGACATCGCAACGCATAATGCAAAGCCCCAGACAAATATGTGAGCCCCAACTTCAGCACAGTCCCTTGCAGGCCGCAGACAACGCCGAGATGTGGGCTATGCTTTTCTTTATGCATATTTAAAAAGCCACCCACCCAATAAGTATGCTACAAATAATAAGCGTAGTGAAGTGGCGCGCATTATAAACCAGACTGCGTTGCCACTTCTGCTCCCCAAGCAAGCGCGTAAGCCCCTGCCCCAGCCCTGTCCTGCCCCTGCCCCAGTCAAGCGTCATGCCTGAGACCATTTTAGCCCAAAGTCTACATGGAATTATGCGAAGCTTCTGCTGTCTGTTGTTGTTTTTGTTAATGGAGCAAAGCTGGCTGCGTTGTTGGTATTATCCTGCGACTGTGATTGTCTGCGCTGTTTGTAGTTAAAATGAGCACAGCAACAACAACAACAATGGGAGCAACAACCAGCAAGTAGAAGAGGAAGAATAAGAGAACACAGTACACGGCTCACCAACAAATGCGCAGCAGTAGCTAAAAATCAGCACAAAGAGAATATGCTAAACGTTTGACGAGACTCAAAAATATGCAGAAGAAATAAAGCTCAATCTGATGAGCTTAAAAAAAAAAAAAAAAAAAAAAAGTGAATTAAAAATAAAAATCTATACTTCAAGTAAAATGTAAAGAAAAAATCACGACACATTAAAAAGACATATCGAGGAATCAAGTTATGCGAAAATATATATATATATATATATATATATATATATAAATATTTCTTGCAAAGGTGATGTCATTGATGAGTTTGACGGAGGTGGAGGAGTCAAAGGGAGGAAGCTGAGCTACACACAAAAGACGGAAATGTTTGTCAAGTGAACTGAAATCTCAAGTGTGTCAACTCAAGCAATTGATACGTTCAAATATTGAGAGAAAGCCAACGGTTGCCTTATGGAAATGATATTTTACGTACAAAATATTTTAAAGCTAAGTTAGAGCTTGAAATAAATTTGTTTTACTATTGATATTTTGCATTGAGCTAAAAAAATAATGTAGATAAATAATATAATATATATTATATAATAAATATTAATTTATCTTTTATTATATAAATATTAGTAATATTTTTAATTTTAATGTTAAATTTTTTTTTTTTTTTAAATTTTTTTTTCATTTTCATTTTCAAAAAAGGTATAATATATGTATAAAAAAATATTTAAAATAGTAATATAATTATAAATAAAAATATATTTAATCAGGCATCCATAATGTCAAAAATATAATTATAGATATTTCTATAGTATTCATAATTTTAATAAATTATGTCTCAATAATAAAAATTAATTATATATGTATATGTATATCTAGATATTTTTATTTCAGATATATTATTTATTTTTTTTTTTGTTTTTTTTTTTTTTTTTTTTTGTTTAAAATTCTTATTTATCATATGCAAATTACCTTTATTTATTTATTTATTGTTGCAAAAATTAACAATTCAAAAATGTTACTTATGCAGCTTTTTGGTGAGCTTCTAATCGAAATAAGTGCTTCTTGAATTTCAGTTGAGCATCCATAAAATCTGAAAATTAAATACACCCCAATTCACGTATTTTTGCTCACCCTTAATACTTAAAAATCACCCACAAAGTGTTGTCTAATGATGTGTTTCGCCCTCAGGCATTTTATTTTTGAGTTTTTCTTGTTGTTGTTGTTGTTTGCTTTCTTGAAAGGTGTCAGAAAAAAAAAAAAAAAAAAAAAAAAAGAATAAAAGAGCATAAAAAGCAAAAGCCAAATTAAAGCTCTGTGGTTTAGTACAAGACTAGAAAGAGATGAAGCAGAGAATTACAAACAAAAAATAAAGACGAGAGGCAGAAAGAGGGGGAGGACAAAAGGAAAAACAACATTCAAACATGACATAAAAACTGAACCGATGAGCACTTACAGCCCCTCATTGGAGATGCAGGCTCAGCGAGAAGCAGATAGAGCACAGCAGCCGGGGCTGGGTTATTGAACTGCCTGGCCGGATTGGACACTAAAACTTCGTACCTTATCGAAATGACAAACAAATTTTAATCAACAGACAACAAGCCGCAGCTGCAACTGCTGTTGTTGCTGTTGTTGTTGCTGTTGTTGTTGTTGCTGCTGCTGATGACATCCTTTTCGGTCGATTTTAAGCGCGTTGATTAGACGAGCCTCCTGTGGAAAGTGACGCATTGAGGGCTGTATGTGCGGATACCGGATAATAATAGCTGCTGCTCATGATGCCAGCAGCGAGCCTGTTTGATGTTGATTATGACAAAGTTGCCTGCCTGCCTGATAAGCCTTAAAACTCTCAAACGATGAGCGTGCGAATTTCTATAAAAAAAATATATATATATATTCCAAAATGTCGAGCTTTGCACGCTGTTGGCCGACTAAGCTATACGCTATCTATGACATATGACACATGAAAAGATGTAGTAAAATAAAAATAAAAAATGTAATATTTAAATAATAATTGAATATTTATTGAAATTGAATGAAATTATGCAAATATTTAAATATTTAGGAAGATATCAAATTATTATGACAATTAAATATTACAAATTAGGTAAAGACATATATAATCTGATATATAATATATTAACAAATTGTGCAGCATAAAAAAAAAAAAATATATATATAGATATATATATATATACCTTAATAAAATTCAGCAAAGAATAGCTTATCAAAAATAATAAAGTGTATATAAAGCCTTTTGAATCAAGACGTGAACAGATCCTTAGCTCGTCTAAAACTAGCTGAAAAATTAATTGTTTCATCATTACATCATTCGCATTATTTTATGCCTTCATTATTACTAACTCGAAAATTAAGATCACTTAATGAATTAATAAAAATAGGGAGTTCTTGTTAATTTAAATTTAATAAAATTTAATAAATAAGAGTATTCAATCAATTTAAAATGCATTTGACTATGGGAAAATTATTAATTCAATTTCGGACTAGTTGAATACATTTTAATACCAAAACGCAAATTATTTTTTATGAAAAAAAAACAAATTTTTTAATTTAAAAGATCGTTTTATATATATACAATATATACATATATATGATTCAATCTTGCATATGGTAAAATCCATGCTGAACTAGTCGAGTCTAACGAGTCTCTTCTCTATATCTCTTCAATTTTTACGAAAATTTACCCGAGCAATACCAATTTGATCAACCTTCATCGGAAAGTGTATGGGCAACACAATTCAGAAGGCGGAGTCGTGAAAACAAAACAGGATGCGAGGCGTTGCTGCCGCTGCTGCCTCCTGCATGCGGCGCACGTGTCGCCCTAAAAAGCCGATCTAATCAAATGGAAGTAAAATGTGTAAAAGGTGGAAAATTTACGCTGAGAAAAAAACGAAAGAACAGCAGCCGGAAAAATAGACAAAAAAACCTATATATATATATACGAAAAGAAAATGTAGAAAATGGAAAATCATAACTCGTCGACTTTTTCTATTTTTTCATACACACACTAAAGTTCGTGCCACATGACTAGACACGAATTCGCATCGACTTTAAGCTTAAAGCCAAGTGTACCTTGCTGGCCTGGGTGGCAGTGGAGTTGGGAATGAGCCAGCCCACGAAATGGGTATCATATGCTAATTTCCATATGGTCAAACCCTTTTGCAAGCCAACGACCCAACCAACATGAGAAATTTTAATAATTTTCACTGAAGTTTTTGCTTGGCGGCTTCCAGTGCGTTGCCTTTTGGGCTAATTGTATGCTAAACGTTTGGGGCGGGATTTTTGCGGGCGGTCTGACACTTTGGAGCGACATTTGGGGGCCGGGTGCTTTTCCAAAGTTTTTGTGGCAGCTTAGAGAGTTGGGCCCACACGGGCGGCACCCAGACATAGACAGAGACACTGACAACGGACACATGAGACATTGCTGGAGCTTA